ACTTGTTGTGTTCTTGAAATAACGATTAAGGAATTAAAAGAGAAATTTTTTGTGGAAATTATATAGGAACATAAAAAAATCATAAGAGAATATATATTTCCACATAGAAAATTTACTTTTGTTAATTTCTTAACTAGTAGTCTTAAATCATTTTATGTTCTTTATAAACATAATCAAATAGTTATATAACTAACTATAATAATTAATTCATAACTAACTTATTTTAGGTTCCAATCATAGAATACACATTCTAAAATCTCTTAAATTTCCAAAATCATCATGAAAGTAAACCTCGAGAGCATATATTTCATTGATCGAGAGGCAAAATATATACAAGTGAATACACTGACCGTTACATAACATTAGGAGAGAAATAAGCTAAATCTCTAGAAACTAGGCAACTATCTTTCCTATATTAAGTAGGTATCCCAATTTAAGCTAATTACAATATTTGACAATAATTACAATCATATCAGATCCTTGATTGTGTAACACTCCCCCTCAAGCTCAAGAACTAGGAAGGTACATGAGCTTGGAAATTAACTGAGTATGTGAAGCCGGAAGAAGAGCCTTTGTGAAGATATCTGCCAATTGCTGATTTGAGGAGACAAATGTGGTTCGAAGTTTTCCTTCTTGAATTTTATCTCGAACAAAATGACAATCAATTTCAACATGTTTTGTTCTTTCATGAAAGACTGGATTGTTTGCTATATGGAGGGAAGCTTGATTATCACAAGATAAAGTTGTAGGATGTGGTGGAATACCCAATTCATGAAGAAGAGTGTGCAGCCATGTGAGCTCACTAACCACATGTGCCATGGCTCGATACTCTGCTTCGGCAGAGGAGCGAGAAACTGTTGACTGTTTTTTGGTTCTCCAGCAGAGGAGACTTGGACCCAAAAATATACAATAACCAGTGGTTGATCTTCTAGAAGTGGGGCAAGAAGCCCAATCCGCATCACAATAAGCATGCAAGCGTAAAGAAGAATTAGATGAGAGTAGGATACCATGGTCCGGGACAGATTTGATATATCTCACCACTCTAAGTGCTGCCTGCCAGTGTGTGTCACGAGGAGAAGACATAAACTGTGACAGTAAGTTAACTGCATAAGTGATATCCGGTCGGGTGACTGTAAGGTATAGCAATCTACCAACCAATCGCCGATATGAAGCAGGGTCAGATAGGACTTCACCATGATCAGCAACCAAAGTGTGATTGTAATCCAGTGGAGTTGTGACTGGTTTACTAGCAAGAAGACCTGTGTCTTGCAAAATTTCTAATGCATATTTCCGCTGATTAAGAAAAATTCCAGCCTTGGAACGTGCCACTTCAATTCCCAAAAAATATTTCAATGAGCCCAAATCTTTTATGTTGAACCGGCTACAAAGGTATTTCTTTAAGAGTGAAATAACCAACGCATCATCACCTGTAATTACAATATCATCAACATAAACAAGTAAAATTGTTATATGGGATGCACGGGTAAATAAGAACATGGAGTAATCGACCCTTGACTGAGTAAAGCCAGCCTCAAGCAAAGCACTCGAAAAGGTAGTGAACCAAGTGCGAGGTGCCTGTTTTAAGCCATAAAGTGACTTGTTGAGTCGACAAACTCGACTCTCCCCCTGTTTACGAAACCCAGGAGGAAGCTGCATGTAAACTTCTTCATGTAAATTGCCATGTAAAAAGGCGTTGGAAACATCCATTTGATGAGTTGGCCAATTTTTTGCTGCTGCAATACTAAGAACAGTCCTCACAGTAGTTAATTTAGTAACAGGAGCAAAAACGTCAGTAAAATCAAATCCTTCTAGTTGTGAGTAACCTTTAGCAACCAAACGTGCTTTATATCGGTCAATGGAGCCATCAGATTTATATTTGATACGATACACCCATTTACAGCCTATAGCTGTTTTGTCGGGAGGCAAAAACTCTAAAGTCCAGGTATTGTTAGCCTCTAATGCCTTTAGTTCGTCCTCCATAGCCTGTCTCCAATGGGGATCTTTACGGGCAACAGTATATGAGGTGGGTTCAATGTGCTTGATAATAGAATTAATGAAATGGAGATGGTTATTTGAGTAAGGATTTGAGCAAAGAGAGTTTGAGATAGGATATTGCATACCTGGAGACGAGGAAGAAGATTGAGCGGAGGCCATATTGCACACGTAATCAGCAAGGTGCGCTGGAGGCTTTTTGAGACGTTCGGAGTGTCTTGGTTCAAGGGTAGTCACTGTAGGGGTGTCAACCGCATGTGTGGGTTCAAGGTTGGTCACCTGCAGGGAGGGGTTCAAGGGTTCAACAGTATGTGTGGGTTCATTATCATTGGGTTCTGCAGTAGGAGGGAGTGGAGAAGTGTTTCTAGGAGGTGTGGGGGTGGGTGAATTTATGGGTTCTTGATCACAAATGGGTAGAGGAAGAGGGTGTCGTTCCATGTGTAAATCATGCAAAGCCTTACTATTCTTGAATGGAAATATTGTTTCATGAAAGATGACATCTCGACTAACTAGAAATTTATGATGATCAATGTCATATAGTTTAAAGGCTTTTTGACCAGTAGGGTACCCCACAAAGATGCAACGTCTAGCTCTAGGTGCGAATTTATTTGGATGATCATGTGAAGTGGATGCATAGCACAAACAACCAAATGTACGCAAGTGAGTGAAATCAGGTGGATGGCCATAGAGTTTTTCATAAGGAGTTTGACCGGCTAAAATTTTGGATGGTGTTCGATTTATTAAATAAGTGGCAGTAAGAATGCAATCACCCCAAAAAATTAGTGGAAGATCGGCTTGGAAACGTAAAGCCCGTGCAACATTGAGAAGATGTCGGTGCTTACGCTCGACGACACCATTTTGTTGTGGGGTACCTGGACAAGAGAATTGTTGGAGAATCCCAGAGTCACAAAGAATTTTCTGAAATGAATTATTTGTAAATTCAGTGCCATTATCGGAGCGAATTGTTTTTACACATGTCTGAAATTGATTTCGAACATAAGCTAAGAAATGAACTAACAAAGAATAAGCATCCGACTTGTATTTCATGAGATAGGTCCATGTGACACGAGAAAAATCATCAACAATAGTTAAAAAATAATGATGACCATTTTTTGTAGGTGTGGCATACTTTCCCCAAACATCAACATGAATTAATTCAAACAAACTACGGCTAGTGGGTGTGTGTAAAGGAAAAGGGAGTCTTGTTTGTTTTGACAAATGACAGACTTCACAATGGTCACAAGAGTCTTTATTGAAACCAAGAACAGGAGCTAAACACTTGAGGGTACTTGATGATGGATGACCAAACCTAGCATGCCAAGTGGTGGATGAGGTAGTGATGACGGCGGCAACAAAGGTAGAGACATCAAGGAAGTAGAGTCCACCCTTTTTATGGCCCCGACCAATCTCCTTCTTCGTCAAATGGTCCTGAAATACACAATGATCAGGATAAAAGAAAACAGAACAATTAGTAGTCTGGGTGAGTTTTGGCACAGATAAAAGGTTGAACTTGAATGAGGGTACAAATAAGACATCAGTCAAGATGATATCTGATGTTATCTGTACATTTCCAAAGCCATGTATAGGAACCGAATGACCATTAGGAACACAAATAGATTTATGAAGAGAAGAAGGAATAGGTGGCTGTTGAAAAGAGGAAGGGGTGAAAGAAACGTGATCTGTTGCGCCAGTATCAATAACCCATTCAGTAGGCATACAGAGAGCAGAATAAAGAGCTAGAGACGCACCTGTGAGATTGGCCTTAGGTTGGTTTACCTCCCTTAATAGGCGAAGAAGTTGCTGTAACGAATCTGCAGATAAAGGATCTTTCACAGCATCATTACGTTGGTCAGCACGAGTGGATGAAGTAGATGACTGTCCATGAGTTTTCCCCTTATGGTAGTAGCGATGCCCTGGCGGATATCCGTGAAGCTTATAGCACTTATGCTCCGTATGACCAAGGATGCCACAATGCGCACATTTGGGACGACTGCGAGAAGGTGGTTGTTTGGCCAAAAAAGCATGTGCAGGTTGAGTTTGGAGGGCTGCACGTTCTGAAGTCAGTGGGGAATGTGTATGGGCCTTTTGAGCCTCATCTTGGAGGAGAAGGGAATAGGCATGAGCAACATCGGGGAGGGATGTAGTAAGAAGTAACTGGCTTCGTGGTTGACTGAAGCTGTCATTGAGTCCCATCAAAAACTGCATGAGGCGTCGTTTGTTTTGTTGGGAGATATAAGTCTCTTTGACTCCACAAGTACAACCTTGGCAAGTGCACGTTGGTGGAGGATCAATAAGAGATAACTCATCCCAAAGGGAGCGAAGCTGATTGAAGTAGTGTGCAATTGAAAAATCTTGTTGTTGAAGAGTAGCAATATTTTGCTCAAACTCATATATGCGAGGGCCAGTGTTGGAGGAGAAGCGTGCCTTGAGATCTGTCCAAACAGCAGCGGCAGATTCTGCATAAAGCACAGTATGGGCCAGAGAGCGATCAATGGAGTTGAGGATCCATGACATAACCATATTATTGACACGAGACCAACGGTGATAATCTTCATGAGTGTATGCAGGGGACGTTAAAGAGCCATCAACAAAGCAAAATTTGTTTTTGCCCTTTAAAGCCATTGTCATGGCAAGAGACCATGGATTGTAATTGTTGAGACCTGTAAGGACGTCACTCACAAGAGTTTGTCCAGGATTATCAGAAGAGGGAAGATAATAAGGGCTCTCCAGATTAATGTTGCTGGAGGTAGAGGAGTTGGCATTGTCGTTTTTGTTGGTGAGAGTTGTGTTTTGATCTTTAGACATGCGACAGAGGTAAAAAAAATCAGAGTTGATTATAGAGATGCTACTGATACCATGAAAGTAAACCTCGAGAGCATATATTTCATTGATCGAGAGGCAAAATATATACAAGTGAATACACTGACCGTTACATAACATTAGGAGAGAAATAAGCTAAATCTCTAGAAACTAGGCAACTATCTTTCCTATATTAAGTAGATATCCCAATTTAAGCTAATAACAATATTTGACAATAATTACAATCATATCAGATCCTTGATTGTGTAACACATCAAGATTGCAAGCAATTGTTCATTAGATCACAACTTGAAGTGCAATAGTGCAGAGGTTCCACTGCCACTTGCATAACGATGTGCCATGTAATCTTTTAAGGAAATTTCTCTGTAGACTGGTGGATGGTCTTCATAAACCAATTCCTTTATTGGACCAAAGACTTTTGATATAGGTGTTCTGAAAAAGGATGCAACTGAAATTCTAGGGCCTTGATGATTTGCCAAAACTCTATGTTGAACACTGATGAATTTGTCATTACTCATAAGCTGCACAGAAAAAAGAGTGAAACTGATCATTGCTGTTCAATCCTTATTTGATATGTAGCACCTCTTATACATTTTTTGACATTTAGTCTACATAGAAGTGTAACACTAAATTCCATAAATGCAATGGAGATTATGTATTCCTCAGTAATTCTAAGATTTTCAAGCGAAATTCCCACAAATTTTGTTCTGTTTAAATCACAGTATGTAACATATAATAGCAACATTACTTTAAACAACGTTAGTTTTTTAATATTTGGGCTTGCCTCATCATCGACCTGTCAACCACCATAAAATTTGAATTTTTCCACGTACCTATAAATTCAACCATAAAGAAAGTGAAGAATCCAATTGTCAATGAAAGGAGCAACCTCGGTATGGGATGATAGACATAGAAAAGTCGAAATGCAGGGAAGAAGGATGAAAGACTAAAGAAGCATTTAAGTTTGCAAAGTTTTATTAAGATAAATTTAAATGTGATAGAATTAAATGGTTTGTGTATTGGGGACTCTTAGACGGGATCGACGACCGGTGTTCAGACAACAATAAGACCAGACGGCTGTAGCAGATAGGTTTCCGAATATGATTAAGATAAAACACTGATTAAAGAAGATTGAGTTGTGGTTGGACCGTGATTAAGGCTTTGTTAATCCAAAGCCCACAGTCAAAACTATAAATACAAATCAAAAGTAAAAGGTAAAGGGATTCATTAATTGCGTATTTATTACAACACTTAGCTTACCAATTAGACTATCCCTGACTTTGGCATTGGAGCACCTTTAACATGTACATCTCCGGTCGGTACACAGGAAACCGGACGAAGCTTGACCAAACGAAGCTTGACTGGACGGAGAGAACAGGGAGAGCGTAGACGGAACGACATATGGAGGAAATTGTGCGGATTTAGGTGACTCGACCTTATACCGGAACAGTTTGCTTATTTGTTTAGGATCTTTATCGGTGGTTATTAGATAATAATTGTGTCTTAATGATAGAGTTTATATGGATTGGAGATGAAAAACCAAAATATAAGTCTATAAATTGTAACACAACCTAGCAAAACAAGTAGTAACACATAAGTAAATCAGATTATTCTAAAGAGTGTGTCATTTTGCCACCAAGAAATAGGAAGGGTAAGGAGAAAAATGTGCATGGACGACTGAGATTGACAGAAAAATAAGCAGTGACTGAATAAGAATGTTTTTATATGCATGAAAAAACCCACCTGCAGAAGATCTCCAATGTTCACTACAAGAGCCCCATGCATGGGAGGTACACAAATCCATTGACTGTCATGAAGAACTTGAAGGCCACCCATCTGATCTTGCAAAAGTATTGTCATGATGTCACCATCTGAGTGCTCTTTGTTTCCCATAGTCAATGCCGGCTCAGGACATGGAGGGTAATAGTTGCATAGAAGAAGTAGCCCTTCAGCACAACCCTTTTCTTTTAGGTGAAAATGATCAAGCCCAAGAGCCTCTGACAGTAACTCAAACAAAGCATAAGCAAGAACCATTACTTTCTTTGAGTATTCAACCACAATATCTCTGCAACAAGTGTGTCAACTCATCAAACACAAAAAAGTATTAGTTGAAAAAAATTCAGTGTAATGATATCATATAACCATTTGGATACTGTGCCAAGAAATTGTAGTACTGGAAAGTGTAAATAATTTTAAAAGTACTATTACTGTTATCACAAACCTACAAACTGCAGGAAACTCTTGGGCTTTGGGGTGATCAGGTGCCAAGGAAAACGCAATAGTATCCCTCCAATCTGCATAAGGGTCTTCATAAAGAGTATAATTGGAAAGATAAGCAACTTTTCTGCTGAAATCACGAGTGTAGTACTCTTTTCTCAGCTCTGCATCTTGCTGGTGAAACATGCGAGTTCCTTTGATCATTTCATCCAAAACTTGAGTTGGAATTCCATGATTTACGACCTGAAAAAAACCCCACTTCTCACATGCATATCTAACTTTTCCCACAACACCATCTCTCATATTAGGATCATCATGGATGCCAGTGAGGTCAATTATGGGGATACTGATCTTTGAATTTGATGCACTGATTAAGCCCCAACTCAGATCATTAGAGTGCTCACAATAGAACATACGTGGAACTTTTTCTACACCCTTTTCTACCAGTCCTTGAACACCAGACTTTGAATCATCAAATGCCATGAGTTCACTTTTCCTGTCATAACTTGGAAGTGTTTCTTCTGCCTCCGACTCACGCGTGCTTGTTACTACCATTTTGATTATGCCTCAAATATGAGTAATGAATGTAACTATCAAGAGTTCAAAACATCTCGATTGAAGAGTATGTATATGGAATAGAGGATGAAGAATGTTTTCTTTCAAATTTTCAAACCTACATAATTGTTTTAGTATGTGAGCAATAAGGTTTCAGTGTGTGTACTAAAGAAAGAGGACAGAAAAAAGTTTGATACGCCTTTATCAATTTTAGTGGTTTTACACGTAAGGTCGCAATTGGAAGGTATCTTATCCTCAGTTGCAATCCTTTTATGCTGTTAGCACATGATTTTATTGAAATTATGCATGACAGAAGGGTGTGAAAAATCAAGGTGCTGCATTGAGATAAATAAGGCCAACAAAGAAAAATATTATCTAATTTCATAATCCCTATGGCTTAAAAAAGGAACAGTTATCATAAAACAAAATACTAAAACATCATCGCCCACCGTGGGACACGAACCCCGACCACAAGGTTAAGAGCCTTACGCTCTACCAACTGAGCTAGACGGGCTTGCACATGAACTTAAATTATAAAAGCTAAGGTACATAGTTTATTTGTGTAATCCGAACAGATACGTTTTCTCAAAGCATGCAATATAACTTAGTTTTCAGTTCTTGAAGCCACATGGTGTTGTAGCAAAGTCTAGTAGTAGAATGAAATATAACTTAGTTTTCACACAATCACAACTTCAAGAATGATATTGAAGAAGCGCCAAGTTGTTTTGAGTATTGATGCGCCAGGTAGTCTTTTAAAGAAGTTTCTCGGTACACTGGTGGATTGTTTTCGGATAACAGTTCTTTGATTGGACCAAAGACTTTTGAGACACCCTCTTCTGACCGATCACCAATTCCAAAAAAGGATGCGATTGATGTTCTTGGGCCAAGATTGTTTGCTAAAACTCTGTGTTCAACACTGATAAATTTGTCATTACTCACAAGCTGCAACCAAAAATACCACAAACTTTTAATGAATCCAATTGAAATTCCTGATTTCATTTGCTTGTTTTGTTTTCCAATTCAATTAAAGTTATTAGACGATTATATTAATGAGCTTGTTATGGTAGTATTTTGCATTGCATTTCAATCTGACATTCTTTGTTGTAAAGTACACCATAGCTAAAGGAAAAAAGCATTTAAAATGTTGAATGAGAATGTTGTTCATGCATGATCAACGCACCTGCAGAAGATCTCCAATGTTGACTACAAGAGCTCCATGTATTGCTGGTACATCAATCCATTGATTTTGATGAAGAATTTGAAGACCACCCATTTGATCTTGCAAAAGTATTGTCATGAAGTCACCATCTGTGTGCTTACTAGTTCCCATACATAACTCTGGCTCAGGGCACGCTGGGTAATAGTTACCCAGAAGAACAAGCCCTTCTTCACATTTCATTTCTTTAAGGTGCAAATGATCAAGCCCAAGAGCCTCCGAAATCAACTCAAACAAATCAGAAGCAAGTGCCATTACCTTTGTTGAGTACTCTGGTACAATATCTCTGCAATTGAACAACATTAGTTGTTTTAAAATACCAAAGTAAAAGCTGTTAAAGAAGTTTTCTTTTTAAGCCTAATTCAATCGTACAAAACCGGTGAAGTTTGTATCCACTTATATACTTAAATTGGGAGTGGAACAATATGTTCTCACAAATCTCGCTAGGATAGACTCTAACCTAACTTTGATACCATCTTAAAAAGTGAACTTTAAGTTTAACTCAACCCTATAAAATGTTATGTGATGTTTGTACTCACTTATATACTATAAATTGACATTGGCTTTATCTCTCGTCGAGGCAGAACTTTCAATATAAACAAGAGTTTTTATTTAAGAAGTAGACTTTAAAGTTTAATCCAATTTACATTTTGAACATAGAAATTAAATATTTATGATCTTTTATTTATGATTGGTACGATAATATATAAGAAGATGAATTTAACAAAAAATAAATTTAATTAAAATAGATTATAGATAATTTGATATCATATTAAAAGTAAATTTTAAATCTATATTAACCTTTCAAAAGTCAATTTGAAATTTGTTTAAAAGTCTAATCCAACAAAAAAGTTCTGCAATAAATTGGAAAGCAGGAAGACACTTAAGGCAAGGACAGGAGGATTAAGGAATAACCCATCACCAATGTAATGTAGATATCATCACACCAATATGAGACTATCTTAAGAAATTATTCATAAGTTGAAGTCACGATGAGAAAGACCAATGTTAAAAAAAAATCATCACAGACCTGCAAACTTGAGGCAACTCTTGAGCTTTGGGTGGATTAGGTGTCCAGAAAAATGTGATTGTGTCCCTCCAATCAGTAGATGGGTCTTGGAAAAGACTATAGTTGGAAAAATAAACGACTTTCTTGCTTAAATCACGAGTGTAGTACGTTTTCCTGACGTTAGCATCTTGTTCATGAAACCTTGAAATTCCTTTGATCATCTCATCCAAAACATGAGTTGGAATTCCATGATTTGTAACTTGAAAGAAGCCCCAGTTCTCACATGCATTTCTGACTTTCCTCACAACAGCATCTCTCAAAGTGGGGTCATCATGGATGCCTATGAGATCAATGGTCGGAATAGCAAATTTTGATGTTGTAAAGTCTTCACTGATATTAGATCTTGAGGTATAGAAAATAGGTGGAACCTTTGTCACACCATTTTCTACCAGTCCTTGGACACCCACCTTCGAACCATCAAATGCATTCAGTTCACTTCTTCTGTCATAGCTAGGAACTGTTCCTGCCTCCATCTCTTCTGTGTTTGTCGTCACCATTTTTTGAAGCTATCAGTGTATCAAAGTTGTGATGAAAGTAAGTACGAAGGGTTCAAAGGATCAAGGAGGAGCAAAAGAAGTAAAGAAATGTTTTCATTTCAAATTTCCCTGAATAAACTACAGATATCGACTATTATATCACTGAACTAGATAAGCTATTTTATTTGTATCTCTTTGAATCATATCACTTTTAAATGAAAAATAATTGTTTTAATTATTTGACAATTTAATATCCCAAAAAAATAATAATGATATATTTTTACGTTGATTTGACACATAATATTCAGGTAAAATAGTTATAAAAATGTAAATTTTTATATTATTTCAAGAAAGAAGAGGATAAAAAAAATAATGGTATCAGGACACACTTTTACATTGATTTGACATAGAATACAAGAAGAAATTGGTCACAAAAGTGTAAATTTTTGTATTTTTTAAGAAAAAAAAATAAAAAATAAGAAAGAATAATGTCAAATGAGTGTAAAAAATTTAGGTATGCCAAATAATATTTTATAGATAAAAAATAAAAAAAAATAGTGTCAAATGAATGTAAAAAGTTTATGTCTTGCAAAATATATTTTTTTATCCCAAAATTCCTGACCATGTCTTGTCAATAAGTTTTTCATGTCTATTTTATCATTTTAATGTCCAAAAATCAATTTAATATTGAATTATTCTTTGAAGATTAATTTAATATTAAATTATAAATTTCCAGAACTAATTTATTATTAAGTTACACAACAAAGTATAGTGTTACACTTTTTACATAATTAAAATTTAAATGTGAATTTTGTATCATTCAAAATTATCACCTGTCTAATTTTTGTAACTTTAGTAGGTGAAATCATACATCTTAAGAATTAATTCTATGTATAAATGAAATCTTTGTTTGAAATGTTATAAAATTCAATTTAATTTAAAGATCTGTTATGGGGGATGAACCCAAAAGATGTCAGACAGGCAATACAAAATTAAAGGAGAAGGACCGACAGCGATTTCGTATTATTGGTGGTCCTCTCTGGCATCATTTCCAATTTTTTCTATTTCTTGTTGCGTTAAATAAAAACCCACATTTTAGTTATATTTTGAGTGGGATTGATTTAATTTTGATTTTAGTTTTAGAAAAGATATAATTTTGAGAGAATAGGAAAGTGTATCACATGTGTCTAAGTATATATAAGCTACGTGTGTTAGATATATTCAACTCTTATGTTACAAGGATTAGTCGACTACATATAGTCCAAAACAATTTCCGTGATAAATGTTGACAATATTAATATTAAGATTAAAGTATCTTAATAGAATTGGTTAATTAAACGATAATAATGGTAATTAGTCACATTAGTCATGTTCATCATGATAAAAAAACACATAAATATAGTGTAAATAGTACAATACACAAAGTAAATAAATGACTTATTCATTATTACAACATTTATTGTTATATGATGTACTTGGCTAATTGAGCATCACAGTATCTTCTAGAGGCATACCTCCTATTGAGCTTCAAAAGAAATTGACCTAGAAAATCTCATATAGAAGACATGAAGTGGGAAGCACACCCCGCTCGATCTAAGGTTATCATCCAAGTCATAGAACATTTGAGTTTGAAGGGTAAGGAGTCTTTAGTAGAAGGAGTTTAAAGGGTTTTCATAGCATATATTCAGCATTGTAAGAACAATTTGTGCCTATTGTGGGGCCAAGATATAATATGTAAAGAAAAAGTTATATGGTGTCTACAAGAAGTACGATGAAAGGTATAAGAGAAGTTGAAAATTCCTCTAGTGAGATGATCATGCTAATGGCAATACAAAAGGACTTTAGTGACATCTCATCCTTGAGTTCTAAACCTTGGTCTCATATATCTCAGCCTGTGATGGCCTAAAGCTAAATAGTGAACTCGTGAACGCTCAAACAAGCTTATTATGATCATATATCGTCTAAAGCAAAATATTTTAAAGAGAGAAAAGCCTTAGCAAAATCTCATATTTTTTTTATTGTTTATATTTCTCTTTGATAGTTATCAATCATGTTTAGCTTAGTTGAGTTAAAACTCTATACGTGTTATCTAGGGTTGAACCACAAGTGATTAGAATACTTGTATAATAGGAGTGGTTAAATCGGACTAGTTATGTTGACTAGGTGAATCAAGAGTGGTAAGAATATCCGTTGTAAGCCTAGAAGGTAAAACTCGTATAATCTTCTTAAATATTAGTATAAACCCTTAAGAGTTCTTAGGAGAAAATTAGAGGTAGCTTAGGTTGAGTGAAACAATATAAATCTATATTTTATTGTTTTGCTTCTTCAAACATTTTCTTAAAACTCTTTTTAAACACCATCGTTTAAACATATTTTTATCTATTAATCTTTCGAAAACCTATAAGATGCTCACTCTCTTATGATGTTTTTCATGTTTATAATTTAAACTAGGTTTAATCCTTTTCGACATCCCTATTTATGTACGAATGTCTCAGATGGGTCCTCGTTTTTTAAAGTGTATCAAAATGGTCCTTAATTTTGAAAATTGATATCAATTGAGTCCTTTCCGTTAAGTTGGCTGGACGGCGTTAAAAAAATTGATGAGTGGATGCTGAGATGACGAACGAACGCTCGTCCACCAGCGAACGAACGCTCGTCCACCAGAGAACGAACGCTCGTCGACCTCTTACTGCTGGACGACCGTTCGTTCCACACTGGACGACCGTTCGTTCGGTGGTCGACGAGCGTTCGCTCGCTGATGGACGAGCGTTCGTTCGGTGGTGGACGAGCGTTTGTTCGTCATCTCAGCATCCACTCATCAATTTTTTTAACGCCGTCCAGCCAACTTAACGGAAAGGACTCAATTGATATCAATTTTCAAAATTAAGGACCATTTGGATACACTTTAAAAAACGAGGACCCATATGAGACATTCGTACATAAATAGGGATGTCAAAAAGGATTAAACCTTTAAACTATGTTACTATTTAAGTCTATTTATTATATATTTAAAAAAAATACTCAATTAAAAATACTTAAAATCTAAAATTAAGATTTCAAAACAAATGTAAGAACCAAGTTTTAATCTAAAATATATCATACTTATTTTGTATATTACAAATGTTTGAAAAGGAAGATCTTTTTTTTTTTAATAATGGTTACTTCTTTCGCATATCAATTTCCATTACGACCATCATATTAAGATATTCCTCAATTTTTTTTACGTAATGTTGATAAACGAACCACCAAACCATCAATTAGAAAATTAATCTCACACTTAATAATTTATTCCCTTAAAAAGCCCAAAGCAAGATTACAAACTACAAACATTTAACTATCGAAGATTCCATTTCAATCCCACTAGGAGGATAAACATATTTTTAATTCATCACATCATCCATTGTTCTATGATGATCAATACCACATTCAAAATCCTTCACAAATTAATTCACTCGCTCTTGAGAAAGAGCAAGGAAGAAAATGTCATCAAGCCTATCATTACTAGGAGAGTTGCCACCATACACCAACAACCCTTGACGGCCGCCACACCGAGCTCCGGCGAAAGCGCACCACCCTCGTGGCCCAGGGTGGTTGTCGGAGTTGGCCTTGTCCTCCAATCTCTTCCATGCTAGTGTATCAGTGTCCAATGCATAAAGCTCACCAGAAAATTGACCAGCGCCCAAGTGACCTTGGTCACTAGGATCAATTTCCCCACCATACACAATTATATGTTTCCCATTGCCAAGGGTGCAAAACACACTACGGGCCGTGGGCTTCAGCCCACTTGTTTCAACCTGCGTCCATGTTTTATGGGCCAGATTAAAGCAATGCACATCGTCCATTTCTTCCCCGGAGAACCCATACACAACCCATATTTTCCCTTGGGCGACGGCCAGGCCCGGCCCACCTCTCCCCTTGCAACTCTCACCCGGAGAGGGAAACTCCACCCACTTGCCCTCAACAGCATCAAAAGCCCACAAGTCATTAAGTCTCCCGTGAACTCCACAGCCGCCGAATACATACACGTGTCGGTCATCGGCGGTCATGGAATGGTAGCTCCGGTTAGGAGGCCCAATATTCCCGCGTGAAATCAAGGCCCATTTGTTGGCCCTTGTGTCAAAAGAATAGAGTTCATTGAGCTCCTTGTGTTCACCATCCCTTCCACCAAACACATAAATGGTTTCTCCCACTGCGGCCATCGTGACACCGACACGTGGCGGTGGGATATCCCCTGAGGCATCGGCTACAGACCACGTCAAAGTCTCTAGGTCGAACACGTGTAGGTTGTTATCCACCGGGACACGTGGCACGAATTCGCCGCCGAATGCATACACCTTCTGTGCTACAACGGCAATGGCGTGTGAGCTTCTTGCTCCTTGACCTTCTCCTCTTTGATCGAGCTAAAAAGAAAATTAACTAATATATGAAAATTGGTGTGAATTTGCTATTTTTTCACATTATAAAAATTTTATTACTTGTAAGTGGATTTAAGGGTTTCTTACTTTTTGTAAATTAGCATCTTAATTTATGAAACTTGGAAGGAATTAAGTATTTTCACTGAAAACTTTGATTTTGACCTAAAATCCTTGCTCTGTTGTAAGCCTCGATGACCATCAAAAGAAGAAAAACCCAAAACCTTATCTAAATTTCCAAATTTTCACTGTCATGAACTTCTCCATCCTTGAAAACAGTTGCAGTCAGAAATTCCAAAAGTTTTTATTTTGAGAGAAAAAGACAGCAACTGAAAACATCAAAGAGAAGAAAATGCAAAAGGGTACAAGAAAAACGGATTCTGGACATATGAAATATAAGTTTGAATGAATTAAGAGAGAGGAAATGAGGATGATAAAATGATAAACAAACCTTGAACCAACTGGCATGAACTGCGGCCATTATGTTGCTGGAAATCCACCTTCAGTGGGAGGTTTGAGTCACTATGTTTGTTTATGCTGTGAGTTGGGCTCTCTGGCCTTTTATAAACATTCTTCATTTCACTCTAACGTAATAATCCACCGTTTTTCTATTATCTTATTCAATAAAGCCCTACTGATAGAAAAATATATATAATCATAGGTTACGATCATGACGAGGATTTTGTTTGTTTATATTATATATATATATATATATATATATATATATATAATATCTTTTCCTAGTGGATTAGGATATATAATTCAGGATATTTGAATCATCGACAGTAAAAATTAACCACTAAGAATATTGAAATGGGCTTAGTTTTCTGACTATTAAGATGAATTAAATATTTTTAAAATTGTTTCTACTGTCCAAATTGTATATTCTTCAACATTTTCTCTTAAAGAAAAACATCTTTTACAAAAGGTTGGTGAGCTGTAAAATCCAAGAATGGCAAAGTGATCCCTTATTTTGTCATGAAAATGACAGCAACAATAAAAGAATACCTTTGAAAAGCTTTTCTATGATAACTTTTATTTATATATAATTTAAATTAATTAAGTCAGAAAATAAAAAACTTTTACATATGCATAAATGAAGTTTAATTTTGCTTTTATTTTTTAAAAGTTTTTATAAATAAATTTAGTTAAACATATCATAAAGTAAGACATGAAAATCAAATGTTCATAAATATTTATAAAAATTATTACTGGGATTGAATTTTCTAAGTGCATTTTATTGGATACTTTCTCTAGCTCTTTTGTCATTTATGATTTTATTTTTGTTAAATAACTTGTTTGTTTTCAATATTTAAAAAATGATATCCATAAAGCTTGAAGTTATTTTATTATACAATTATAAAGATTAAATTATTTTATAACTATTTTTTCTGTACCAACTTTGTTATAATTTTAAGTTTAATTTTAATTAATATTATTCTATTATGTAATTTATAACATTGTAATAAATATTAAAAAAACTATTTCGATTATTTTTTATATGTACATATAACTTTTAGTAATGTTTTCTAATTATTTTAATATAATAATTAATTTATAAATATATTTTATTTTTTTAAAAAACTACATGCACACTAGTAATTATAGATATATTGGATGTTGACAGTTTTTTGGTACCAGAAACAATTCTAAATCTTTAAACAAATTTCCTCTAACTAGTCTTTACATTTGTGTTGTATATGATAAATATGAAATGCTTTTACAAGTTTAAAACATTGTCTTTAGAAAAGGATAATTTGATGTAAAAGCATTGAGTAATGTTTAGAATTTCTAGTATAATTAACAATAATGCTATTAAGTTATAAGAAAAACAGATTCGATTTTGTTATCTCAAACTAAAGGAGAAAATTTTACATTTTCAAAACTTATGCTTTTGTCAAACTTTTCAAAATGGATTTGTTCTTACATTGATGAATGTTTAATAACCTGGGTGGATACCAACTGGTTTGGGTGTTTTGCATTTCAAAATATGATGTTTAGTTGCAATTAATATTAAATTTTGTTCTAGATAAGGAAAAATAATAGTTTCCTTAAAGGCCTAGATCATGCCTTGATGATGTAATACTAAGTTGAATTGTGATAATTGGCTCAAATATTAATTTATAAATAAGTGCCACAAGCTCACAATCCACTAACTCTGATGGTTTTACTTAATAAAAAAATAACGAATTTCATATTTTTTAAGTAATAAGTATCTCCAGTATTTTAAATAAATCAGATAAACCTAATTCTAAATTATACAAATTTACCTACCTATTCCATATATTTGGAATAATTTCAATGTTTTATAAATAAGTTATTATTAATAAGTTAACCACATTAAAGAATAAAACCATGTGTTTGGAATATAATTTCAATGTTCTATAAATAATTATTATTAATAAACAAGTATAACCACCTTAAACATTAAACTACTTAATAATTATCTTAAAAAAATAGATTTTGAGAAAATCAACGTCAAAATATAATAGAAGAGGTCCAGAGAGAAGTCTTCAAGAACTAAAAATAAAATAAAAATCCGATTACTTAAAACTAAAATAATTTATGTCGTAAGTATGTTTAGTGACAAGACATCTCTTATATTTATAATTATATCATGTTAATTTCGTATGTATTTCTTTAAATTGATCCATATTTATTCTTTTGTTTATAACTTATTTTATAGGTATTATTTTAGATGATCCTTGGTGTGTTCATTTTGGGGAGATGATTTGAGAAGAGTGAGTGAATGGATTTGAAAGTGAATTTGTTATTGTTTATTTAAGTGAATTTGGAGGTGAATTTGGAGGTGAATTTGGAGGTGAATGAGAGTGAATTTGGAAGTAAAGTTTGTAAAATTTAGTGTAATATTTGACCGATGTCACAGATAAAAAAATTATTTAATTGATATAAATTGAAGATTACCAAAATGCTCCTAATTATAAAAATAATATAAAATGATAATTGATAATGTTATATTTAATTGTAAAAATGTTTATAAGGAGAAAAAAATTAAAATTAATTATTAAAATGTAAAAAATGATAATTTAGTAAATTGAAATAATAATAATAATTATTATTATTATTTATTATTATTATTATTTTTATTATCATTTTTGTTATTATTATCATTATTTATTATTATTATTATTTGTTTTTATTATTTGTTTCGACATTTTCCGTGAGGATCCTGTTAAAACACAAGCTTGTCGAAGACCAGACGGACTATCACGAACGGTAAAGGCTGGCGAACGAAGAATGGAGCGGCCATGGACCGGGCAGACGCTTTCTCACCAGCTGAAGCAGATCGAGCGGCTCGGGCGCCCGAGGCGCAAGAAGCTGACAAAAACCGGACGTTTGTTGCTGAATCCCACGAACAGAAGAAGGGCGAGCCATGTATGTGGCGTATGGTACGGTGACGGATTGACGCTGCTCCACGTTCTGGGTTGGAGGCCGGACTGGTTTCTCCCTCTGTGCTCCCGGATGTGGTCCTCCTACTCCCAGATGGGCGGTTGGGTACCTGCCAAAGGCACTCCGACGCTCAAGTCAGTAATATGACAGAGCGATCTGTGATGCATGTATATATTGCATCGTAAGGAAAAATTGGTCCATAACTCATACCTGAAACCTTTATTTATACTGATTGTAATGGGCTTTTACCTTTAGTGGGTCTGATAACGACTCTTTTACCTTTAATGAGCCTGATAACGACCCAATCATACCTTAATAAGTCATTAAGGGCTTAAAATGAGTCATTAGCGCCTAATCGTGTAGTCGACCAAGCGCGGGCCGGTGGGAAAGATGGTCGGCCAGGGATGTCAACTTGGGTGGGCGGCCATCTGGTTCTGCTGTTCGGTCACATTGGACGCTCGGTCCTGTTTGCCCACTTTGGCGGACGTTCGGTTCATGACTGGCCGACCTTGGAGGTCTCTCGGTCCATGTGCGGTATGACAGAGCGTTAACTTGGACGCTCGGTCTCGGTACTCGACCCGGGTGGACGTTCGGTTCATGACTGGGGAGTACCGGTCGGTACATAATGTTAGTTTGGACGTCCGGTCTTGATTGTGACCTCGGTGGGCGACATTGTGTTAACTGCTCGCGGGTGTCCTTCCGTACGGCATCCGGTCCTGTTGGTACATTATTATTATTTATTTATTTATTATTATTATTAGTATTATTATTTAGAGAAGATATTTTATTTCTTATTTATTATTATTATTACTATTATTTTATTAAACAAAGAAAAAAAATTTCACCAGTAAATTATTTAAAAAGTACAGGGTAATATAGTACAAAGTTTTAAATCCCTCCAAATCTTTCCTAATATGCAGAGATGAAAGTGGTGACAATCTCACAGATCTGTTTGTGCTTTTGCTTTTAAATCAAGTCATGAACATGAAATTACTCTTAATCTCATCTTTCTCAATCCGCATGTACAGTGTAATCTGCTTCTTAATTCTATAATATAGGACTAAAGAAAAGTGTTAGTTAGTGAAAATTATTTTTAGTGATTATAAAAATTCTCCATAAATTAATATTATTTAAGATAGTTAAAAGAAATTGTATGAATACATAAAATAATGGAAGTTAAAAGAAATGGTATGAATACATCAACATTCGTATTCCTTAACAATTTTATAAATACAAAGACCGAAGTGAAAAAGAATACGTAAAAAAAATGAGCACGAGTAAAGTAAAATACACAAGAAATGAGAAAGGGAAAAAAAGAGATATTAAACTCATAAGTCAAATTTCAACAGTCGTGAAAAAATAGTGGGTGTTTGTGCTTAACCAATGTAAAAACCTTCACTTTATGAAGTATACCTGCTCAGATTTATTTCTACTCTATCATTATTCCATTTGATAGTTTTTTATGTCAAGGGTAAATTAAAAGGGTTATACTTAGAAAGTATTATACTTCGTAATTTGGAAAAGTTGATACTTATATTATCTAAAGAGTTTGATATTCGTTATACTGATCAGGAGAGACTGATATTCATTATATTTCGAGAGGTTGATACTCATTATATTAAGAAAGATTGATACTCGTTATATTAAGAAAAGTTAAACTTATGGTGTGTGGAAAGATTCTATTCGTGTTGTAAAGAAATTAGGATATTTGATCAGTGAAACTTTTTAAATTAGGTGTTTATTAATCACAAAAAAAAATTTTAAGTCAAAGAAGGAAGGTTTGAATTGATACTTTTTCAAAAGATTTATTCTTTTTGAAGTTTGTAAAACCTTTCAGTTAAATCTAACAATGTATCAATTATAGATTAGAAATTTCAGCTAACAACAGGTTAAAATTTAGATAGTGAATTTTACAACAATCTTACTTAACATTCAGATTGCAAGTTTTATTAATTTGATTGGAAAGATGAGTCAAATAACTATAGATGCACTGATTTCCCAATTTGTTATGGAATCATATAAAATTTGTCGGCCACCACCATCGTGACTGGAAGCATTGCCGGCATCCTCCTCTTCCCTCTTGTAGCAAGGTCTGGGACCTTCCCCCCATCTGCAAGTTGAATTAGAACATTATAAGAATGAAAAACATCAGTCTGTGTTATAATATACAAGATTAAGGTGTATCTTGTTTCATTTAAAAGCATAACAGAAACAATACATTAGTTGTTTGATGATTTGCCTTTATTTTTCTCTTTTCCTAACTTACTGATGCACTGTTCACAATTCTACAATTTTTTTATTCTTGCTACACTAATGCACCATTCACCTTTAGTTACTTTTCTACGGTTTTTTTATAGCGACAATAAATTCATCAATCAATGAAAAGAAAAAAAATCCAGTTTTAAAATGGCTACATAACAACTTATTTAGCAACATCAAACAGATAAGAAATTATGATATGCAGCTATTATCATTTCAATGACTTTAAAACTCCTAATATGAGAGTAATGATACAACAACAACAAAACTTTAGCCCACTGGTGACATTGACTACACAAATTACAATTAAAGAGTATTGATATGGTAAAACGATTATTAGTGAGCCTTCATATCTGGAGACTGCCTTTAACGTTTGGTTTATAGTCTATGAGAGACTATCTTTATCGCTCGGTTTATAGTCTATGGGGGACTGTTTATACCGCTCAGTTTATAGTCCATGAGGGACTATAGTCCATGGGGGACTTTATCGCTCTGTTTTATAGTTTATGGAGGATTGTCTTTACCACTCGTTTTATAGTCCATGGGGGACTATCTTTACCACTCGTTTTATAGTCCATGGGGGACTATCTTTACCACTCGTTTGACGTATTTGAAGGAGCTTTTGCTCACAAATGAATGTTTTGTATTTATTGTAATTGAGTATTGTGAACTCTACTGGTGGTTGGCCCTGACCTTATATTTATAAGTCACCTCATGGATCCTGAATTGATACAGGTCCAATAAAATAAAAACAGACTTACCTTTAGATTTGACATTAGATTCGGTCGGTTGCTCATAAACAACTTATCAATATTTTTAATCAGATATCTTTGATTATTTTATCCTCTAGTGGACTACTGGTCCAATAATACCTTAGTGCTGGCCCAATTATGGTCCAACATCATTTAACACGATTGACCTTAATTGATGCAGTGGATGATGATCTCTTTGATCATTATTGTGGTAGTGATCGAACGGTTAACACTTAGTAACCGTTCCGTATACACTATATCCTATACAAGATTATTACAAATAGATAAAATAAAAGAATGATAAGTTAAACATCTAATGTGCTTCATTGACACAATTCTTATTTAAATCCAAGATATACTCACTTTGGAAGATGATTTGGACCTGACACTGCAATGTTAATTAATTTCTTCCAGGATCTTGTCTCTTCTTTCTAAAATATTAGTCAAATATTTCAATGACACATACAACTCATATTAACAAATTTAATTGTAATAACTTAAAAGAGCCATTAGTTTCGTTTGCACACATGTTTGTCCTCTATCCTCTTTCAAACATCTCACAATAAATAACATTAATACATTAATTGTACGTTAAGTATATTTCTTTATTGAAATTAGATTTTAAATTAAATTGAACATAAAAATTAAAAATTGGAAAGAGGAAAAAGATTTACAAGACAAAGCATACTGCAATGTAGACATTGATTAAATTCGGCATTTTGATAGATCGGCCAAGCACAGTTTTGGTATGGAAAATAACTAATAATGTTATATATGCCTTCTGGTTGTGTATTGGTGTTTAAACAGTTATATATAGAAACATAGAGCTACATCAATCTAGTTCTATGTACATAAACCTAAATAAAGAAAAATGAACACAGAAACCTTGCAAAAAAAAAAAAAAGAAAACCCTATTAAAGGCTTGACTAGAATTTTCCAACATAGCAGGCACAAATCTTCAAAAAATAAACCATGGTTCACCCTCAACGTGTACCAAGAAGTTCACAAAAACACTAGAAAAGAGTGGGATGTTTGAATAGTGTTTTCATAAAATTTTGCAAGTAAACACTTTCAAATATTGTTGTTGTTAGACAATATATAATAACAATTGGATGTATGTAAATATAATAGAGCGCTTAGGAAAACATTTAAAATAGAACCATTGAAGACACAACAATTTTTATATTGGTTCACTCACCTAAGTTATGTCCAATTGTTGAAGATAAAATCATCTATACGTCTAAACTTTCTCATATATTTTGAAGTTTAATCAAATAACATTAAACGAAATAAGAATATAAAAATGTCATAACTAGAAAGATAGAATAGACAGAAACAAAAGAATTAGGCTCAAAATCTCCAACATAGAAAAACCTTAGAAAAACACTTAGGATTGTAGGAAACAAAGAAACTCCTAAATCAAAACATCCAGGCGCAATGCTAAATGATTCACAAGTCAAAGCATCTAAAGGAGTTATGTTAAACGCATAAGTTATAATGTACTCAATGATACTCAGTTGAACTCTTGAAAAACAAAAAAGTGTCAAGTCAATGTCTTTGACAAAACTCTTTAGAAGCCTAAATAAAAAATATAAAGAAAACGTAACTTGATAAATGCTTTTGCTCTAAAGATAATATCACAAAAACATCAACCTAGATAATAACATGAGCTAAAATTTTTGTTTCATCCAACGATGAAGCTCTTACCCAATGTTTGGTATCTTAAAAAAAAAATTTAATAGATAAATACCACTTCAATGATAAAAAATGTATAAAACGAGCATGCATTAAATAACTTTAAATGCTTAGTATTCAAAAACAACCAAAGTTGAGTTACTAACAAGACAGACGAGCTGACTCCTTCGGGCGAGTCCAAACATGTGATCTAAGTCGCGTTTTCTTGACATCCTTAGTTCTTGGTGTCAAGGAAATTAATTAATAAAATATATTAAGTTACTTAAAAGTCCGGACATAACCTAAATGGTGTGGTGCAAGAGTATAAATCGGTTGTTTTTCTCTCCCTACTTTTTGACTTTAATTATTTCTCTACACCAAAATTGTTTAAATTTCTGTACGAGTTCTATTCATCCTCCTTCTATAATTACATGACCAACATAATTTACTATATGAATTAAGTTATGTAAAATTAATATTTATACAAGTCTGTAACTATATAAAAAAACAGCATATTCATATCGTATGTCAACAAGTCTGTTAACTACAGGTCATCATGATCAACAGCATGAATAATCTCTAAAACAAGCAAACGCACTCTCATGATATAGATTTCATTGTAACATCTCCAATTAACTACGATCAACTCAACACGAATTCCACCTCTTCATCTACAAGCTAGGCGAATCAACAGCAAACTTCACTACGGATCCAAGTTCATCCCAGTTATCGAATGTGAAGAAATCGTTCCCAGGTGGGTTACTCCAAAGGTTAGAAGACGGTGCAGTCAGTTGAGGTTGCTGCTGTGCCACTGTAGAACACAACTGACTCACCACACTAAACTGATTCCTTTTATCACAGTTTGTGTAGTTGATGACGGGTTTCTGCTCGTTGTGATAGTACCCACCAAAGTTTATATACGATTCTTGGTTACCACTGTCAGACTCCATGTTGCTCGCTCTCGAGCTCTTGTCATAAAATGCATGGCGCTTGGCAGATACTTGTTTCAAGTCCGCCACGTGCTTCCTCTGTGACACGTTTCTCTTGAAAATTCTACACAACGTCCAAATTTCCTGCATATCGTATGAAAAAATTTGAGGAATATTTGCTAAGGCTAAGTGAAAAATATTAATCTATTAAAAACAAGAGCTTAGTCTAGAATATAATATATATAATTTCTCACAGCTTCTAGGGGAACATCGACATAATTCCTGGAGTTTGGAAGGCTTGTGTTGGTGTCTGTGTTAGAAGGAAGTCGAAACTCGTGCATCATCCAATCGGTTTTGGTGCCTTTGCCTGCAATGCCACGGTAATAGACAAGTGTTTTTTTGAGTCCAATGCAGTCATTGCCTTCTCCACCTTGTGAGTACACTGGTTTGTCTATGCCGGTTGCTTTCCAGAACCCAGACCCAGTCACTCTATTAGGCCTTATGCTATTCCTATACTTCCTCCCTCTTCTGCAGAAGAAGTACCCCTCCTTCTCTCCTCCACTGCCATTGCTCTCTGCTTACACACAAAACGTTGCAACAAAATTCACAATAATAAAAAGGAATCAGTGCAGAAAAAATAAAAAAAAAAACAAAAGAAATTGCACTAGACTGAAAAACCTAGGTTGGTTCGTTACAATACTTGAAGTTCTGATTAGTTTTATTATGATTCATAAAATTTTGTTAGTCCAATTCATTCTATCATGCTGTATGTTGTTGGCTCTGAAATTCAAGGGTATTCACTTTACATTATTCTTACAAAACTATGCTGAGTACTAAATTTGGTTCAAGTTTATAATATAAGAATCTATTAGGAAACCCTCAAAGCTTATAATTGTATCATACATATAGATGAAAAGTCTTCCATGATATTTTGAGACACTTTTCTAGAAAGTTTAAGAGAAACAGAAGAAGATCAAGAAAACATACTTGGAAGATCCCAAGGATCGTATTTGTAAATATCAATCTGTTTGATGAGCTCGATGCTGATGGGTTTCTTGTCAAGCTTCCTTCGTAGATAGAAACTAACAAGCTCTTCGTCTGTGGGATGAAATCGAAATCCAGGAAGTGGGATTTCATCGTCATCCACACACTCATGATGATCATCATCCTTGTTGAAATTTTCGTTCACACCCATCTTATCTTCTCTCTCTCTATTTCTGTGTGTAGGTGAGTTTGTCTTGCTTTTGGCTGAATAAAAGGGAGAGAGAAAGAAGAGGTGAAACAATTTCAATGAAGTGGAGAAGCTTCTTTCCATTATTATAGTGTGAAGAGAGTCTAAGGATAAATGAAGAGGTTTTTCATGCAGGTCAAGTCATGAACTCTGACTTGTGCCCTCATGATGTTTTGGTTGAGACTCGTTCTATTGTTTAATTTAAAGTCACCATTTAGGACTTATAAATCTTCTTAGATAATTCATAAATTATTTAATGCATAGAATGGATCTCTTCCCTTCAAATACTTTTCTTCCATTTGTCACACAAGCTGCCAATAATTGCTCCTATTTCGTGGGTTGAATCATAAATGACACAGACCTGTATTATTATGAGTCATTTCCCATGTACGGTGACCATTCCACGCTGAACAAAACCATCCTTATTATCATTATATTACTTTACTTATTTTCTCTTTCATCTCTTTAGCCTTTAATAATATTATAAAAATTTATTTTCTTAAATTATAAAATATTTTATATTTATATTTTATTAAAGTCATATAAAACATTTTTTCTAACAAATAAACTTAATATAGATTTTTGTATCACATGGAAAAAAACTCCCTACAGTTTACTATTTATTCAAAAAACAAACATAACTTTTTAGAAAACGAATATATTAAATATTTATTTTGCGTCATTTAGGTTTACCGGTACTATTTTATAAACTTTGTTTCTGATGTTATTACGAGAAATTTGTGTATACGATAGATATTTGATGTACCCATATATTTATTTTGAACATAAAATTTTTTTATACGTGATATATGGGTATTAAAACACATAGGTAAATTCTTAAAAACAATGATAAATATATAATTTATTGTATAAATCAAAATTAAACCATATGTATTAAACATTGTCAAAATAAAAATAAAAAACTATAAGTTATTCTTATCATAAAAATATTACTCCTTTATAAATTAGATACTTCATTAATAAATATCAGTAAAATACTATAAAGTATCAACACAAATATATGTAGAACATGAATACGTGATCCAAATAATTAAAGTATCCATCAATTATAGAATGAAGATTCTCAAATATAAGGATAATTTTCATAAGGCTGTTTCCACTGAAAAAATTCTAAGTTAGTCTCTCCATTTAAAAAAGTTTTCATTACATCCTAACTTTTAAAGAAATGCCTCAATTAAATTTTTTTAAAGAAAAAAATATATTGACGCTAATGACATTATCATATGTTAATAAGTGATTTTTTTTTTTTAAAAAAAATTTTCTTTTAAACTTTTTTTGTTACCATGTGTTAGATTCCTAGTGTGATATATGACACTCTCAATGTCACATATCAAGGCTACGTGATAGTTTTATTGTCTTGATTTCAATTTAATCATGTCTTTTTGATTAATTTAGTTCTAATTTTTTTAAAATGAAACACAATTTTTATTAAAAATGAATGTTTAACCTATTACGTTATATATTATTAATTCATGTTTCGTTAATCTATTTTTTATAAGATTAAAACTAATAAATACTTTTACAAAAAAAAGCAAGTATTTAAAATTAATAAATTATTAATCCATGTTTTTCATAAAAATAAATTAATTAATATCATTTATACATATAATAAAGTTGGTCCTCTTTTAAATGGGATCTATTGTTTGTATAAACATTATACTAATATTTATATTAAAATTTAGTGGTTAAAAGTGATTATTAACAAATCATGGGATAATAATATACAATAATGTAATATGTTTAAAAATTATTTTTAATAAAAAATATCAGTATAACAATTTTACAAACAATGAATTGGGTATCAATTTTACAACACTCAAGTCACTAAAAGAGTTTGAATCTTAGTAAGTAAAAAAGAGAATGAATGTGAAAATGAATGAATATTTATAAGAATTTTTGGGACCATTAACCTATGTTGTGATATCAAATAATATTATTGAAATAACACATAACAATGTGATATTTTATCCTAAATAATAACTATAATATGATGATATTAGTTACGTTTATAATATTTCTTAGATAAATACATTTTGAGAGGTTCCAAGGTAAAAAAAATTAATAAATGTTACGCTGCTCTCTTTGAGTCATCTATTAAGCTGGATAATAATAATAATAATAATTATTATTATTATTATTTTGTTATTTTATTAATATTACCAAATACATCCGTTTGATTGGTTGAAATTACAAGTGAGTGTAATTATCCCTAATAATACTGTAGTTATACAGTGTGAAAACCTGACGATTGTTACGGCCGTCTGCTTGGTTTTATCGTTTGTCTTTAGAAACTTTTATATAGAATCCTATTCATCTTAAAGAAAAAAAAAATACAAACACTTGCGAACTTAAAAGTGCTAGAGAACTAATGGTGGAACTTAAAGCCGTATTTTGAGAACACGAACTAAAATTTGACGGCAGATAACGACTCTGATAAACTATAATGGTCAAGTCGTAGATAAAATGTGGTATAACAGGTAAGAATTAAATAATAATTTTTAAATTTTTGATAAAATATGCAATCACTTTAACTTTTCTTGCACTAGTTATTATTTTTTCTAGAAATCCAACGTTTAAGGTCAATTTATTTTAGGGTTAAATATGTTTTTTAGTCCCTAAACTATTGGTCATTTCTGGTTTTTTCTAGAAATCTCACGTTCGTTTTAGTCTTCGGAATTTTGGTTTTAGTCCTCATTTGTTGTTAAATGAGGACCAAATTTTTAAACCGTGTTTAGTTTTCGAGGACTAAAACGAATGTTTCGAAAAGAATGAGGACCAAATTGTACCTTACTTTGAAAGATGGACGAAAACCAGAAACGGCCAATAGTTTAGGGACTAAAAACATATTTAACCTTTTATTTTATAATATATAAGTGGAGACAACCTTCACTTTACAAGTTAGTTTTGTGGAATTGAGTTAAGTTTAAAATCCACTTCTTAGTTATCGGATCACCCATTAATATTGTGATCTTTAATCTTAATTAACTAATTAGTAGTTATATTTTTTACCAAGTGTAAATTATAGAAAAGTTATTTTGTCAATATTTATAACACCTTAGAATAAATAAAAGAGTAATATAAATTTTTATAATATTAGATTTTTGTTGATTGAAATTTTTACACTTTGCGTAATTGATAAACTTTATTTTTAAATAAGATGAGGTTGGGCATACTAATTATCGACCGTTTGGATCACAATTATTATCAATTTTGCGAACAATTTATTTTTATGAATTTAAATTTGTTTATTATAGTCAATTTTCACATAATCTGCTATCATATTTTGAAATAACTACAATTTCTGTTGTTTTTGAAACACATAATTTACTCTAACATCAACAGTGTGTAAAAAATCTTTTAGAACTATAATCAAAAGTCGAATATAAACTAGTACTATGTTAATATAAAATCTTAAAGAAGCTCCTAAGAAAGGCTGATGACCACAAATAAAACTCCTCTAGCCACCTAATTAAGCAAATTAGGTTAAAGAAACCCATAAGTCAAAGAAGCACAAAATTTCAAGGTATACTTTTGCAAGTTGGTGATATACACGAGTAAAAATTCAACTACGCACCAAATAACATATTATATTAAAAAGTATAAACATGAAATCAAATTGAAGGGCATAACATTTGAATTAAATAACATACGATAATATTAAGTAGCAACTAAAAAACTTAGATAATATTAGAATAGAAAAACTTAAATTCGACGAATTTACAAAATATTGGTTAGATACTTTTCACTGATAACTTCAATCTTTATTTATATTCATTTAAATTTCTTACTTTTTACATTATTTTCTTCAAAAAACTACAAATTTTATTTTTTTAAGATAATTTTATCGTTAAATATGTCAAATGAATGTGAATATATATCATCCTACCTTATTCTAAGTAAATATGTCTATTTTACTGTTATCCAACTTTACAGATTTGATAAAAGCTAATAAGAGCATTCATACAAGCAATCTTTTCTTCATACTCACCCTATATAAAATAATCCTCATAAATTAAAAACAGTTCATAATCAGTTTACAACATTACAAGAAAAGCATAGGGGAGAATCACAATTCAAAAACTAGTGCTCTGATATCACATATAGAATTTTAAAATTATGCGATTCTCACAAATCATTAAAGAAAAAGTATGTGTATTTTTCTCAATGAAATTTTGCTTTTCCGTGCCTTTGAAAATTCAATTAGATTTTCTTTAGCCGCAAAAGATTAATTGGATGAATGATGATCTACTGTTTTTCTCATTTTGACTTTTAATTTTGACTTTCTTTTTCTGGTCTATAGATCCTATTATTTTTTTAAACCCAATAAATAATAAAAAAAACTGTTTTTCATTAATTTAATTATTTCTTTATCATTGGTGTATTTCATTATTATTTATTTTGATTAAGCAATCGCCGATATATAAGAATGACAACAAGTTAGATTGAATACGAATAGTACTTACATGGAACCCAATTCGAAAACAAAAATTTCATCTCTAACTCGCTCGCTACTCGCGCGAATGATATCTATTTTCAAAAAATTTGCAGATATTTTAAAACTCATGGATATCCGCAAATATTAAAAAATATATATTTTATACATTTTTAAAATAAAATTTAAATAAAATTACAAAAAAATATATAAAATTTAATATAAATGAAAATATAAACTAAAATTTAATTTTAATTAAATTTAATCTAAAAAGATATAAATTAATTTTAGGGTTAAATATGTTTTTAGTCCCTGAACTATCAAGCGATTTTGGGTTTCGTCACTCTTCGAAAGGTTTGTTCATTTTAGTCCTCTTAGTTTTGAAACTCTTATGTTTAGTCCTTAAAATTGAACGGCGTTAAATTTTTGTATGAGGTGGCTAACGGTGAGCCAGGTGTATGTCATGTTTGGGGTTTCTCATCTCTTTCACACCCACCACTGCTCCCTCCCATGAGTCTCCATTTTCATCCATTTG